CGTCTCCTCCTCCTCCAGCGGGGCGGGGCGAGGGAGGGGGCGGGGATGGTGTCGAATCTGTGCCCCCCGCTGGCGTCGAGGCTGCCTGCAGTGCCGTCGTTAGAGCTGGCTTCGGTGCTGTCTGCGGTGCTGGGGTGTGGTCCGTCATGGACGTGGGCGCGGGTGCTGCCGAGGACGATGCTGGCGTCGATATTGACCGTCAATGCGGGCATTGGCACGGACGCTGGCGTCGACAAGGCGGACGGGTCATGGCATGGCAGGGCGGCCCCACTGGCGCCAGGTGCGCCTGAAGACTGCACCCTCGCCAGCGGCCCTGGGCGAGGCGTCAGGACAGAGGATGTTGAAAGGCTCATCAATGCAGGTGCCGAGGACATGAAATATCGTGGCATGGCGGCCCCAGCAGCCGAAGGTGCGCCTGAAGACTGCACCCTCGCTGGCGGGCACGGGCGCGGGGACAGGGCAGGCGATGGCGGTGGGCTCGTCGGGGCTGGCGCCAATGCGGTCGGCAGTGCTGGTGTCGATGCTGAGGTCGATGCGACGACAAGCATGACGGCGGCGAAAATGGTGGCCCGTTTGGGGCGGGCCAGACCCGCCGTGCCCTTGGAGCCGCAGGCGGTGCCGATGGCGCCGAAGATCATGCTGCCGACCTTGACGGCCCTTTTAGGGTGGGCTGGACCCGCCGTGCTGGTGGAGTCGACGATGTTGTTGACGACGCTCCTGGTGCCCGTGCCGATGGTGCGCAGGACCGCGTCGACGATGCCGAGAACGATGCCGAAAGTGGGGCCGAGGACGCACCCGAAGTTCAGCGGGATAATGCCGGTGAAGGTGAGGGCGGTGCTGGCGAGGCCGCGGAAGCGCTCCCGGGGGGGGGTCGGGGTCCGGCTGCTTGTCGCGCACGGCGCGACGACGGCAGGCGTGGGACCCAGCCCGACCGCTCTCAGCACCGTCTCCCTCAGCAGTCGGGAGCCCGACCCCCCCCCGATTACCTGGCCGTAGCGGGGTGGGCAAGTGCTGGACGAAGTCGTCGGTGTCGGCGTTAGTGCCGTGTGGGTGAGCGTGGTGGTCAGCTCGGTGCGCGCGCAGCTCAGCGCGCAGGTGGTACACGTCGTGCTCTAGAATGCGAAGATCTTCGTGAAGATTCGCTCGAAGCACGCGTGGGGCGTGGCCAGGTGGTTCAGGAAGGTCGCGCCCGTGCAGGACGGGCACGTAGATGACAAGGTCCTGGTGCCTATGCTCGAGGAATTGGCAGTGGCATTCTCGAAGCGGGCCAGGCAGTAGCTGAGGGTGAAACGAACTGCATGTGCGGGCATTGCGGCGCTGGGCTGGTGGCTCCATGGCGGCAGTACCCGCGTAGACTTGGGATGGGGTAGGAGGCATCAGCATGACAGTCTCGCCGCGCGAAGGCTGCCTCCTGGGGCTCGCTCTGAGTGGATACTCTCGAGCCGAGACTAGAGAGAGAGAGAGAGAGAGAGAGAGAGAGAGAGAGAGAGAGAGAGAGAGAGAGAGAGAGAGGGGCGTCGCAGCAGCCGCTTCGGTTCCTGTCCAGCGGGCCGCGCCCCGCGGCAACGGGCCGCCGCCCGGAGAGCGGCCCGCGTAGGGGCTGAGCAGGAGGGGGGGGGGAGGTAGCGAGGTTATCAGCGGAGCGCGGTGCATTAGGAGCCGCTGCCGACGCAAAAACAAGCAGGCGATGCCCACGCCCGCCCTGGCCTCACCCCCCCCCCCCGCCCCGCCGAACTGACCAAGGTCAGCGTTCGGTCTGCGCTGCAAGCTCGTGAGCAGTGGCAGACGGCGGCGACCTACCCCGGCAGCCACAACTAGGCGAACTCTTGGTCATGTTCGGGGGGGAGGGGGGCTAGACGTTCGCGAAGAGTGAAAAACCACGCCCTCGTCCTAACCATTCTTATCCTTATCATCCCCCCCTTCCTCGCTCCCACTACCTCACCCTTTTCCTCCTGGCCCAACCTCGAGCCCACCTTCAACTCTGGCTGTTCGCGAACGCCCTGCACAACGGAGGGAGGTCGGCCGAGCCCGCCGACGTGGCTCGGCGGCGGGCCTCTAGAATTAACGCAAGAGGTGCTTCACCTCGGGGTCGGTCGCGGCGCCCTTGCCCCCCTTGCCCTTATTGCCTTTTCCGCCCTTGCCCTTGCCCTTGCCCTTGCCCTTCGTGCTCGGCCTGACCGTGACTTGCCCGCGCGACTCTGGGAATTTGTCGCCCCTCACCAAACGGAACACGTCGCCTGTCGCCGCCTTGTCGTACTTTGCTTTCTCCGCGGCCGAGACAACCAGCTGGGTGATTGTCAGCTCTAGGTCCACTTGATTTTGTTCGGCCAGGCTGGTGAACTCGAATGTCCAGTTCACCTTGACCGTTTGCGCCTCCCGCTTCAGAGCGGCGTGCTTGAATTTCTGCTCAGCTGGCATCGCATATTGCTCTGTGTTGTACTTCTCCTCACATCAATCCCCCTCTCCTCATCTCCGCATCCCTCACTCCGCACTCCTCCGACCCATTCGCCCCCGTCCCTTCAAGCCCCTTCCCCTGCGCTGCCCCTCCGCCCTCCTCGACGTCCCCCGCGGCCCCCCTGCTCACCGCCCTTACTCCTCATCTCCTTCTCCTCATCCTCATCCTCCTCATCATTGAGCCTCATCATCCCCCTCGCCCTCTTCATCTTCCTCATCCCCCTCGTCCTCCTCATCCCCCCCCTTCCTCATCCCCCTTCCTCCTCATAGTATGTTCCTCCTCCTGCTGGGAAGGGGGTCCTCGGCGGTCACCACCCAGCCGGGGGCGAAGTCAGGGGGGCCGAACGTTGGTGCACTCGGCGGGGTGATGAAGAGCTCCTCTGTCTCCGAGAGCGTCGCAATGGGGGGCGCGCCGACGATGGGCACGTGAGACACCTACCGCGAGGAGGGCAAGAACGGATGAGCATCAGCAGCAGCAGCGCCACTGATGGAAAGTAGGGCAGGAGGAGGAGAAGAGAGAGGGCGAGAGCGAGGGAACGAGGCCGCGGGCTTGAGGGGGGGCGGCGAGGGCCCCCAACCCCGCTCGACGCCCAGGGCAATGGAGCCACCACCGCCGCGGCCCCGGCGATCGACGCTGCACGGAGGCGTCGGGGGGGGGGGGGGGGACGGGACAGAAGGAGGGAAAGGGAGGGTGGGTGGTTTGGCTCAAGTCGGCACCTCGCCCACCAGGTTGAACCTCAGCTGGTCAATGTTCGCAGCGTAAGCGTCGCCCTTCGCCACGTGCAGCGCGGGGACCTGACCGCAAGGGTCGCCCCTGGCCACGTCGACTCCGGAGTCGGGCTCGAGCGCTCCAGGGGCCGCGCCGTGGAAGGCCAAGTCGAACAACCTGGGTTGGCACGACTGCACCAACAAGGCCATCTGCGTGCCAGGGATATCCACCTTGGCAGACGTCGCAGTTGCCCACAAGGTTCGGATCTCTGGGAGCATCTTCGTGGAGCCGAACTTCAGCGCTGCCGTGTTGGCCAGCCTCTGCAATCCCTGGTTTGCGATCTCGGCCAGGGTCGCCGCAAGCGCATCGCGAGCTTCCTGAAGAGGATGATGGGGGAGGAGGGCCACGAGTAGGAGCAGGAGAGGAGGGGGGACGACTACGACGGAGGAGGAGGAGGAGGAGGCAATCCTTCTCCTGATCCAGATGCTCCTGGATCTTGGCAGTCATGGCGGGCGCATCGTGGGCCGTGCGCTCGACCTCCTGGTCGCTGCCAGCCGCCGTAGTGTAGGCGTTCGTGAAGATGTACTCCCAACGCGAGGCGCAGTGCTGATCCGTCATCGGCGTGGTGCCGTCGCGGGATTCGAAGAAGCCTGTGAGGATGGTGACGTGCGCATGCAGCCAGTTTTGCACGTGGTTGTAGTCGAGCTCGGCGAGCTTCTCCGGGCCTGTCAGCAGGGGCGCCAGACACTCCCGAACCGCGAGGGCCCGACGATTCCTGAACCTCTGAAGCTTGTAGCTGTTGTCGAACATCCGCCCACCCAGCGAGCTAAGGGAGGTCTTGTCCTTCGCGTCAGATGGGAGGTTGAGGAAGTCATCGTGCACGTGGCGGGCAAACATCTGCCACTTCTCAGGCACCGCCTTGAACAGTTCCTGCGGGCGTTTCGAGACGCACGAGATCATGCAAATAATTGCCCCAGTGCGACCCTACCTAGAAGTTGGAGCCCGAAGGAAAGCAGCCTTAGTTGCTATGCTATGCTATGCTATGCCGTGCGAATGCTGCGCTATGGTATGCTATGATATGCTAAGCTATGATGTAGTATGCTGCGCCGTGCTATGCAATGCTAAGTTGTGCGAATGCTATGACCTGATATGATATGTTATGCTGCGCTATGCTATGCTATGCTATAATATGATATGGTGTGGTTTGGTATGCTAGTATATGATATGAGTTGCTTGGCTATGTTATGCTATGATGTGCTATGCTATGCTATGCGAATGCAACGCTGCGCTATGCTAAGCTAAGTTACGCTAATCTAAGCTAAGCTAACCCTCTAGGCAGGGCCTTGGTAGGGAATTACCCCCATGCTACGCTATGCGATGCTATGATAGGCTCTGCTATGCTAAAGCTCAGCGAAGCTAAGATGAAGGAAAGCAAGCTAAGATAAACCTGAGCTAAGATGAAGCCAAGCCAAGCTAAGATGAAATAAGCCAAGCTAAAATGAAATAAGCAACGCTAAGCTAATGGGAAGCAGTTGGGGGAACCGCGGGGCGGGTACTGGGGGAACCGCCCAGGGCGCGTTCCACTGCCCGGCCCCTTCAAGCACACCGAGTATGAACCCTTCTAGGCAGAGCCTAGGTAGGGAAAAAAGGAGGGACTGGGGGCAGACAGACAAGCAGAAAAGGGATTACAGATGGGGCGAGGACGAGGAGGACGAGGCGGCATGAGGAAGGAGGAGGGAGGGGGGAAGGGCGAGGAGGCAGAGGAGGAGGAGGAGGAGGTGTTGTTTGTCCTCGGTCACCATCGGCATGAGCCTCGAGAACTTGGCCCCGTCGTCCGTCACTGGGCAATATGTAGCGAATCCAGCTTCTCGTGGACCGCGGCACAGTAGTCCTTGCACGCGCCCATGATGGCAACGTTCGCGGAGTGGCCTGAAAGGTTCCTGGCAAGAAAAGCTAGCATGGCCTTCACGAAGGTCTGATCCTCCATCATCCTCTGCATGAGACCGATTCCGGGCATGGACTTGGACATCGCCTCCAGGACAGGGTCATGCTGGATGGCCTCATCGAGGGACTGCTCGATGGCGTCCTTGTCCTCCTGGTCCTTCTCCAGGTGAGAGATGGGCGCCGTCGTCAGCTCCGTCGTGCTTGCTTTCTTGCTGTCGGCAATCCCAGGTAGCTTCACATCGCGCAAGGCATTGCCATGCGCTTTGACAGCTATGTTCCTGAGCTCCTTGCGCAGCGCCTTCCACCCCGTAGTCTCCTCGCCGTGTAGAGCGATGACCTTCAGGAAGGCGAACTTCAATCCAATGCCCAGAGCCTTGCGCACCTCCTCCTGCATGATCAGATGGGCGTCCAGGTACGCCAATGGAGCGGATATGCACGCCACAAGGTCATCAAGCCATTGCTTCTGCCTCGATCCGTCCCCCACGTCGAGGTCCATCTTCTCGGCTGGGAGGCAATATCCGACCTTCCTCCTCTTCGCAGGTTTGTCGTCATGTTCCTTCTTCTCCTTCTTTGCTTTCATCGGCTTTGTCTTCGCATTCGCCTTGGCGGCCGGCTTGTACAAGGTCGAGCCTTGCATCTTAGAGTTGGGCCAATTGAGGAAATTGTTCGTCGCCGCAGGGCCAATGAAATGCCATGAGTCGCGCACCTGGGGGCCGTTGGCGTTGTCCTCGGTCCAGGGGGCGCAGAACTTCAGGACCTCCCACGGCGCCTCACTGTACATGGCGTGGTCAATCGTCGGCTGGTAGTTGGCCTCCATGAAATTCGACACAATGTTGTTCACGTTGGCCACCGTGGCGTCGGAAACACCTGGGCGAAGAAAGTCCACGGACTTCCCGGTCTGCTCGTTGTATTCGCTCCAGGGGCTGAGCTTGACCAGGTCGTTGTAAAATGCCTTTGCGTTCACCATCTTGTTCCATGGCGAGCCGAAAATGTTCCCAAAGTGCAGCGTGGCGAACTCCTCGCACTGCTTCTCAGCTCGATCAGGCCCAGTCTTGGGCAAGGTGGCGGTGCCGATCCCCTTCGAGTTGCAGTGTGCAGCCCAGCCAGCCTGGATGTTCTCGATGGCGTTGAGCCTGGGCTGAGGAGCAACGCAGTCCCCCATTCCCCCCCCGCACTTCCCCGCCGCCCCTCCCCCCCTGCCAAATTACAACATGCAACCTTTGGCGCGACCCCAATAGGAGCTCGCGCGGGCCGCGTTGGGCAAGCCTAATCGGGCCCCAAGAAGGAGAGAGGGGCGTTCGGGACGACCCTCGGACTCGTGCCTACATCCTGCATCCCTCCTTTGCCCGCCCGCAGGGAGCAATTCCAAGTAAATTGTCGGCGCGCCCTCATGGTACTCGTTCCCCTCGTGCTTCAGCCAGCTGAGGACGTCGTGAGGAGTGTCCGATCTCCAAATCTGTACCGATATCCCTGCCTCAATGAGCTTCGTCACGAACTTGTTCGGGGCGGCCTCCTGCGACTGCATGTCGTGGGCAATGTAGAAGGCCTGCTAGGTGGGCGGGGGATAGCATCGAAGATCGAGCAGGGTAACGCGGGGGAGAGGCACTTGCACATACCCTGGCCCCAGACCCAAGAGCGAGAAATGGACAGACGATTCCGATTCCGACGACGTCGATGATTCGGTCGACGACGACGACGACAGACGACGACGACAGACGACAACGCACGACGACGACGGATCAGGACGAGGAGGACGAGGAGACGGAACCGCCAACGCGCAACCACATTCGGAAAGTGGTGTCCTGTGGGCCTGTGGGTGCGTCGTTTCGAGCGAGCTGGGAAGGGAGCGATGCGCCCGACAGAACTGCCGACGACGACGACGGGAAGATTGGCCACCGAGCAGCCTCGACTAAGGTAGCCCCCGCGATGAACTTGAAGGTCGGCGGTGCATCGCCGCACCCGTCCACCTCAGGTATAGTATAACCTACATTGTGACATGCATACACATGCCCCCACCTTCGGATTGGGGGGGCTTTGGACCTAAGGCCACCCCCAACCCGAATCCCAGGGCATTCTAAAGAGGAGCGCATGCATTGTGCCAGCGAGAACCTGGATTGCAATCATTGGCCCCCTGAAGCGAGACATCACGCCCTTCTCCAGGATGCGCTTGGCGCACACGCAGGCGGCCCCCCCTAACTGCCTGGGGTTAGCCTCCATATGGCGGTGCAGCAACTTGTTGCCTCGCGCGTCGAAGAGGGGCGCCTTCTTGTCTGGCATCCTGTAGTGCTGCTCGCAGAGGTCGTAGAGGTCCTGCCCCTCCTGGCCCGGGAATCTCTCTTTGATGCTCGTGCGGAAGCCGAACAAAACATTGTGGATGTGAGTCGGGTCCGAAGTAGCGACTTTGGCACCCGCCGCGGGCACGAGCGAGTCCTGGACTTGAGCAAGCTTCTTCGCCATCGCTGCGCCGCCGCTGCTGGGGTCAGCACCACCCATGGCGCCGACTGAGTGGGATGGGATATTCTGGGACTGGAGGTGGTCAGCGGCGCAGCGACGCGCTGCCCTGCCGCCTCCTGAAGGCCGCCTGAAGCTCGAGGCGGGGCTGCTGCGGGGAAGGGGGGGGGGGGGGGGGAGCGCAGACAGCAGTGGCAGAGCAGCTGCGACGAGGGCTTGCGGTAGCTTGGCTTGATATTGTCTACCCCCTGCTCTGACCTGCCCCCCGCTTCCTCGCATGTCCCCTACCTAGGCTCTGCCTAGAAGGGTTCTTACTGGGTATGCTTAAAGGGTCGGGCGATGGAACACGCCCCGGGCGGTTCCCCGCGATTCCCCCAGTTGCGTCTCCTTAGCTTAGCATTGCATATATCATCTCAGCTTAGCCATTTTCATCTTAGATTAGCTTGGCTTCATTTTTGCTCAGGTTATATTAGCATAGCTTACCTTCATATTAGCTTCGCCGAGCTTTAGCACAGCAGAGCATAGCGTAGCACAGCATAGCGCAGCACATCATATCATAGCATAGCCCAGCATAGCATAGCATAGCGCAGCATATATCATAGCATATCATAGCATATCATAGCGCAGCGCAGCACTTCACAGCACAGCACAGCATAGCATTAGCAGGGCATAGCATAACATCGCGGAGCTTCGCATAACATAGCATAGTATAGCATAGCTTGCAAAGCCCAGCGCGGCATGACATTGCATACCTTAGCATAGCATAGCATAGCATAGCATAGCATGGCGCAGCATAGCATCGAATATCATAGCATAGCGCAGCATCGCATGGCATAGCATAGCATAGCATAACAGTAATGCTGCTTTCCTAGGGGCTCAAACTTCTTCCCTCCTTCACCCCGTCGTGTTCCTCGTCACCCCCTCATCTACAAGTACTTGTAACTTCTAGCTTCCACTGGGGGTCCAGGATTGATCAAATCCGCTCGGAGCAAGTCGCCAGACCCCTCCCAGGGTCCCAGGGTCCAAGCTGATCAGTTTTCAAACTGCGTCCAGCCGCGGCGAAAGCGCGAACCTAGGAAAGCGCGAACCTAGGCTCGCCATCCCGGGGCCCAGGATGGCCCTGGCCAGGCACGGCGGCGGCGCCCTCACGATGACGAGCGCCCGAGAGGGCGGGGCGGGCCCAGGAGGGAGCAAGCGCAGAGAGGGCTGCGCGAGCAATCGAGAGGGCGAAAGTGACGAGGGGGGACGGGGGATAACCTCCAGGGGATAGCCGAGGAGGGACGACAGGGAGGGCGGCGGAGGAGGAGTGAGGGCAGGGCGGGGAAGAGCGAGAGGGGCGAAAAGCATCTCTGAGTTATCGCGCCACCTTTGCAATGTCCATCGCGCTCGCGACTAGATATGTCAAGATGGCGAGGCAGCGTTTACACGCTGCCAGAGAACGCATATGCGACGCGTCTCGTGCGAGGGAAGAGGCCTGCCCCATTTCTCGGGCCGCGCAGACAGCAAGAGGGCGTGAATGGGTGCAAAGATGCAGGAGGAGCCACTCGAAGGGAGGGTGCTTGGTGAGAGCGGTGGAAGGAGTTGAGGAAAAGGGTAGCGATAGCAGACTCCAGGGCGCCCCGCCCGCCATGCCACTTGTCGTGCGCATGCGATCGGCATATCCCGCCTGGAGGGCGCACGACGTGCATGACAAACGCAGAGAGGGCACATGCACATAATGCAAAGAAAGCAGCGAGGCAAGCCGCGCGGCGCATCTGCTGGCGGCGGGCCCTGGGCCCAGCACTGTCAGCATGATCAGGCCCCACCTTGGGCCCCACCTTCTTCGATCCGTGCTCGCACATGGCGCGGGTCGAGCGTCGACGCGTTCGACGAGAGGCTGGATGTCCTCGGCGAGGCAGCAGCGGCATATGAGCGGGGGGGGCATGCATTGAGCATTGGCAGGAGTACTGGGGGTCTGGCAATGTTTTCAGAGTCGAGTCCGACTGAGGCGACGAGGGTCAGACAGACCATCAACTCGGGGCAGTTCCGGAAAGGGCGTCGCGCGCATGGCGGAGCGTTCGGCCCCTTTACTCCGCCTCCACCCTCCACGCCCGCCCCAACCCAGAGAGGGCCCAGCGGCGCAGAGGAGGAAGGTGGAACGAAGGGGCCGCCCGACTCGCCAGGCAGGACACGGCCGCGCACACAGACGGGACCTTTGGTGCGCGGGGGGGGGGGGGCCCTCAGCAGACGCCGCCTCTCGCCCCTGACCTGCATAGCTGCGCGCTGCTGGGCGGCGCGCGCTGCCAGCGCAGCTGTGCGCGCCAGGTTGGCGCGCGGATCTGGATCGTCGATGTTGAGGGCGCCTCATTCGAGGGCGAGTCCAATTGATGAGGTATGCATGGCATTGCCGGCCTGGGAATGCATTGCCGACCTGATCCTCAGATGCGGCACATTGTAGGAGCATGTCTCACCGAAGAACGTTAGCTCAGGATACACTGGAAACCCTTGGAGCAACAACATCTCGCGGGGAACCATCCATCGGCGATGTATGTCGAGAAAAGGAGCCCCACGTTTGCGATCGAAGTCTGGATGCGGTCCCCCCCGCGATTCGTAGACGCATGGCTGATGGGGTTCTGGTCCAAGTCGCACACGACGCCCGACGCAATGCCGCGGGCCTTCGGGCGGGGGGCGGGGTAAGCCAAGTGTCAGGTTGAGCGGGTTGAGGTGCTGTGCCAAGGCCAATCTAGTCATACATCCTCATGTCTACGACTCTGTCAGACTCCCCCCCCCAATATCCGCCCTGGCCGCTTGACTTGAAATTCAGGGGGGGAGGTGGCGAGGGGGGGGGCGGGGGGGGAGTGGGCCCAAGAAACATGTTGGCGCGCGTTGCTGTTGTCTCAAAGGAGGAGGAGTCGAGGAGGAGGAGGGCGAGGATGAGGACGAGGAAGAGAAGGACGGTCGACTACCAGCCTGAGCCTTGTAAATACCCGCCCACTCGAGCTCCCTCTCATTCAGGATGCTGGAGAAGTCATGCGGCCCTGCATCTGTCGGAATGCCAGCTGCGCAGTAGCGCTCAGCAACGCTGATGCGGCCCTCGCCCCACTCCCACGCAGATTGGACGTCATCTGGCGACCCGTAGGCGAAGAACTCGTGCCAGTGCGCCCTGGACGAGCGCTGCTGACTCTCCGCGAAGAGAGGCCATGGGATTCGCTCCTGGCGAAGCAACTGCGACTCTGGTCACGAAGCGGGCCCCGGCATGGAGAGGGGAACCCAGAGTCTCGAGGCCAGCAGATTGGCCAGCCCGCAACGGGGCCACAGGGCCCCCTACCAACCCACAGATGGCGAGCGGCAAGGTGCTGAGGAGCGCCCCCCCCGAAAAAAAAGCTTCGAGGGGCCCTCCCCTTCCTCCTCCTCCTCCTCCTCCTCCTCCGCCTCCTCCCCCCCAATCCTTCGTCGTCGTCGCCGCCGCGACGATGGCGATGACGACGATGACTCATCGTCCGAGGGGGCAATCATCAGAGCCCCTGCGTGCTTTGTAGTCGTTCCAACTCCTGCACTGTTCGCTTATGCCTCATCCAATGGCAGCGCCTCTCCCTCTCCACGGGGTAGCCCATCTCGCGCGGGTCGATGACGACGGTCTGGATGATGTAGAGGTCTGGGCGCGCGGGCGGCTGTCATAGGACGGGGCAGAGGGCGGGGTCAGGTGGTCGCATGCCAGAGAGGTCACGCGCACCAAAGAGGTCGCCCATGCCCCATGCACCAGAGATATCACATACCAGATGGGGCATAGGTCGGAGTGAGACGACGGCGACACAGGCAGGAAGACAGGAGGGGAGGTAGCATGAGGCATACACGCGCAAACATACATGGAAGGATGGATGATAGACGAGACGCGGCCAGGGAGCGGCGCGAGGCGCCGTCGAGGCAGAGGCTTGAGTAGTTCAACTGGGAACTCCTTCACGTTCTCCTGCAGGATGCCCGCCTCCTGGAGCTTCCTCCTTCGCGGGGTGCCAGCGCGCGTGGGGAAGGGGGCGAAGGGGTGGGAGCGAGGGGGGGGTGGCCGGGCCAAGGAGGCGCGCGGCAGCATCAGCGCTGCCAAATCGACAATGCGAAAGATGAGAAATGAAGGGGGCGAGGAAGGGAGGGGCATGCTGGAAGAGGACATGCGAAGACGGGCTTAAGTATTATGCGCCCGCACGCCTGCGCGCAATCCACGCGTAAAATAAAAGCCGAGTTCGGCCGCGATGGCGAGATCGAGCATTCTGCTGCGGCGACCAATCCGGACACGGCGTGCCTGCTACGTGCACCTTCGCGCGCGGCAAGGGGCAACGCGTCTTGTGCACGAAGCAGGTCGCTGTGTTGGCCGTGAATGCTGGCGCGCGGATCAAACGGCCTAGATCATCGTCCGTCATGCGGTACACCTCGTTCACGAGTGTCTGGCGAGTGGTATCAGTGGCAATCAGGTCTAAAATATCGCCAAAGATGCACATCGGGCCGTGTGGCATCACGCGAAGCTCTTGCTGGCACTGGGGGTCCGAGTCCAGTGCCCACAGATTGGGGGTGCGATCAGAGTCCTGGAGTTGTGCACCGCCAAAATGCTGGAGCCCATTGAACAGGGAGCCCATAGCCACTTCGGGTGCCCCTACCCCTGAAAACGAAGTAGACAAGGACATCGATAGCATGCTAGAGCAGGAGGGTGTAATGATATCGCCCGTCGTGGTCTGAAGTGCACGCACAAGTGTTGAGAACATGTGCTCGACCCATCGCATGCATCGCAGAGGCTAGTCACGTGGGAGATTGGCTGCGGCACTGGAGGCGGCAGCGGCGGCGCCGGCGCTGCAGGATCTGGAGCAGCTGGACCAGCTGCCCGAAGGTCGCAGCCTGCAACCTGGGGGCTGCACGGGCGAGTGGGGAGGAGGAGCATTGGGCGAGGAGTGGACGAGGGTGGGCGCGGTCAGGGCACCCTCTCGACGGAGCCAGCCCCGACAGAACGTCATCGCGATAACAGATGAGCGGCTCAGGCGCTG